TCAGTCGCTCGGGAGATGGCAGTTACCACCGCAGCCAGCACAATTGGCGTAATTAATCACCCCGGGGACGACTCGGAGCGGGCGGCCGGGGAGCGTGACGCGTCCGTCCACCGAACGGAACACCTCTGTCGTACCCGTCCAGGAGGGTATCTCCTCCACCGAACGGAACATCTCTGTCGTACCCGTCCAGGAGGGTATCTCCTCCACCGAACGGAACACCTCTGTCGTACCCGTCCAGGAGAGTATCGCCTCCACTGAACGGAGCACCTCTGTCGTACCCGTCCAGGAGGGTATCTCCTCCACCGAACGGAACACCTCTGTCGTACCCGTCCAGGAGGTATCGCCTCCACTGAACGGAGCACCTCTGTCGTACCCGTCCAGGAGGGTATCTCCACTGACGGAGCACCTCTGATGCACCCGTCCCTGGATGTCCTCCACTGAGCAGAGCACCTCTGATGCACCCGTTCCCTGGGTGTCCTCCACTGAACAGAGCACTTCTGATGCACAGGTTCCCTGGGGAGTCCTCCACTGAACAGAACACCTCTGATGCGCCAGGCCCTCGGAGTTTCTTTACAAGCAGAGCACCGCTGGTGGACTCTTCCAGCGGTTTGCCCTACCGAGCAGGTAACCGTGATGTACCCGGCGGCGGGGATGTCCTCCACCGGGCAGGTAACCTGTGATGTACCCGGCGGCGGGGATGTCCTCCACCGGGCAGGTAACCTGTGATGTACCCGGCGGCGGAGATGTCCTCCACCGGGCAGGTAACTGTGATGTACCCGGCGACGGGGATGTCCTCCCCGGGCAGAGCACCTTTGATGGGCCCGGTCACCGGAGGAGTTTCCTCTAACGAGCAGAGCACCCGTTACGTAACCGGTGACGGAAATGTCATCCACCGAGCAGAGCACCTTTGATGAACCCGATCACCGGAGTCTCCTCCAACGAACAGAGCACTCGCGATGCATCCATCGACCGGGGTGGCCTCCATCGAGCAAGGCATTTCTGATGTACGCCTGTCCATCAGGCTCATTCAAGCAGGAAATTCAATACTGAAAACTCGCACCGTCTTTCTGTAAACTGTGTTAGGTTCCAAAGACACTGGAAAGGGATGCAAATGAACTGCGGCGTAGCTTTTCATATTTTCTAGCCTACTGAACATAGGGAGAGCTACGCGTCATATGTTGAGTTGTGGTCGTAAGAAATGTTCTATCAGTTATATACAGATGACCACGGGGTTATAGGTTGAGACATGTCTTGACACTTCTCATTTTTTCTTCGCTATGCTCTTTTCACGTGACATCACTATCTTAAAGCCCCAGAACGGATGATGGTGACTCCTAAGAGCGGTTTAAGAAGGCAGATACCAGTGACACTATCTTGTTGCGTAACCCAGAAGTCAACCTTGATAACCATCGCCTGCTTCTTGTTTGTTAGCAGCGATGCGTCAAAGTGATGGTTGTTGGCATGTGATTGAAGCATGAAAGAAAATAGGATGGCGGAAGTGGTTCAAGACTGCAGCGAAGGAGACTTCGTAGTTTGAAAATGGTTTGCAGATTCCATAGGTCACTCCAGATGAATGAAAGCAAGCCAAATCAATGAAAACGAATCTAGGCTGCATGTCTTGGAAACAATTTAGCTGCGTGTTTCCTTCACAAATGTGTCGGAATAGAGTGAGCGTCTTCCAACATCGACATTTATTTATATGAAAGCATACGTTCCATCCGGAGATATGTTTATGCGTAAGTATCATCATTAATGTATAAGGTTGACCCTTTGCCAGTTTAATCAGGGACAAAATAAGTTCAGTTCCGGTCACCCTGAAATTTTGGGTAATGTCTCTGTGAACGTGAACATGTTTATCTGAGGCCTTTGGACGCGATATTTTACTGATGTTCGACAATGTCCGGACAATGTCTGATTATCCTCACAACCAGCCGTTACGGCATACAAGCTGGTGCAAGAGTTTGCGCCCGCTGCGCAAGGTTTTCTACACTTGCCTGAAAATATGTCATTGCTCGGAGACTTGTTGGAATGTTTTGCGAGAAATGTCACAATTTGCGCCGTTTATTAACATGGACGTATTGCTGCAACGGTGGGTGCGAAAAACGGAATCTGTTGGGTAAGGAATAACGGGTTTAAATGTTAGTTTACACGACTTCCTTTTTCTCTAAGCTATATTCGACACGATGTTTCGAATCGAAGGAGCACTGCCAAACGTAGCCGATGAACTTTAACCTTATCGGAATAAACCAGACGACAGCTTTAACCCTTGCCCTAATTCGCATGTTTTCATAACGCAGACTAATAGGGAGTTGATGCGAGCCCTGAGGTTTCCAAACTAATAAAGACAAAGCTAAGAGGAAAACACGAGTGGATTGGTCGCAACGAGATCTCGCGATTGGTGCTAGTTTGTGTGTCGTTAGGCCAGTAATTGATCCTATTATGTCAGATCAAGGGTCAAATTTCCAAAAAATTGCAGTATTTTGGTTTTGCGTCATACCTACGAGACAAAGTATTTTGGCCAAACGAAAGCTGATCAGACGTGTTCCTTGCTCAGTTCTGAGTGCAATGATATATATCTGCATGTGTTTTAAACGCTCATGTATTGAAAGAGCCCTGTTAAAGGGAATCTTCCGCAGTTCTATTGGGTTTTTAGCTTAAATAGCCATCGTGGAGGTTATTCGGTGCAGTTCGCAGTCATGCTCTTCTGAAAACTTAACCTACGCTAGTTTCTGAGGTACGCACTCGCAAAGATATGCAGACTGTTTCGTGGAGGCTATTTTAAGATCATCCAGGCATCCATCACGGCATATTGTTGAGTGGTTTATATCTGGCGTTCGTGACTGCACGATTTTCAGACACCACGGCTGTCAATTAGCTCTAAATCCATGCAGTGCATGGTACGATGGCGCAATCAGTCCGTGACATATTGAGGAGCATCTTTACTAATTGGAGAAATTATGTTGTTTAGAGCAGTCGTTTCCACTTAAAGAACAAGAGGAGTGAGAAGTTAGCTCATCTTATGATT